ACCCCAGGATCTCACTTTTAGGACTGTGATAATCGTCTGAACATATCATTAATCCCAAACTATACTAGCAGACTCTGGGACCCTACTTTTAGGATTGCGGCAATTGTCTAAACATTCTCTATTCCAAACTGTACCTGTAGAATCTGGAATCTGACTGCCTTAACTTGGAATATCCCAATCTGGTACTTGCTTAAATGAAGGACCTGTCAAACAGAACTTGTCTGTGATGCTGCAAGTAGTGACAAAAAAGATAGAAATTCCTTCCGAGATTCAAGTAAAAAATATCAGAGTATCTGGATAGTTAAAATAATTCTTGAGAATTTGACACTAGTATATAAGTTAACATAGTAGTTCCTTATTAACAGAATTAGCTAACTATATCAACATTGCCGTTGATGACTATTATTAACCATTCGGTCTCTAGTCAGGCGTGCCCATCTATAGGGTGGTTTTAAGCAGATCTGCCTAAGACAAGTCACGATAGGTTATCATTAATCTGCATGTATATGTATAAATTGATTGATGTAATGCTTAAGATTTAATTATTAATAAATAGCTCGAATCTAATATCAGTTGCAGTTTAAAAATAAAAATAAATAAATAAAATAAATTTTCAGTTATAAAAAATTGACTTTTAGTTATAAATTGATTTTTAATTATAAAAATTTAACTTTTGATTATAAAATTATATCCTATAATCTAAAGTCTTGAAGGATATAATTTATTTTCAGTTATAAAACTTTTGATTATAAAACTTTCAGTTATAAGACATAATGTTAAACTTTAGAAATCTATTATTACCTTCTAAGTATTCAAGATATTTTATTAAACTTGTTGCTTGTTGGCTATTAAACAATTGAAGTGTTCTATTTCTATATTATTCATTGTATTTTCTCTTATTAGCTTTTCTCAGATAACTTGATCTTTTTTGTTTCTTATAACAACCTACAACTTCTATCATTTGTTATAATTATATTTTACAATAGAATATTTTGATTTCCATTTTGTTCAATTCACCTTCCAAGATCTGATAAGCTATTCTATTCTCTCTTTTTTGTATAATCTTGACTAATAATAAATACTATTTTGAAACTAGTCCTTTACCTATATTCTGTATGAGCTGTAATATTCTTCAGTTTTGTATTTCTTTAGTATATATATCAATTAGTAGATCTATATATATTAAACTATTGTTTCTCAGTGAAGATATAGTTTTTTTATATTTGTCTGATATAAGGTATTTACTGATTGAGCTATTTTTCTTATTTTATTCAAATATATTATGCTATTTTCAACTTTGAAAAGTTATCTTCATATCTCTAACTAACTTCAATACTAGGAGTATAAAGTTGTCTCTATTTGATAGGAAATATAAAAAATTATAAGTATATTATTAGATTCTCAATGTCTAATTTGTATTTATTTAAGTCTAATAACTATTGTAACTTCTACTGGTCCTTGATCATTAAGTTTATTGTATAATTCTATTATCTGATTTTTTTTTTTGTAGTATTCAGATACTTTTCAAGTTGTGAATTTTTTAATAATATATAATACTATTTGATGTTGATCCACTAAGAACAGTTTTATTCTTAAAGAGCTTTTTATATACTATTATTAAGATGTTACATATTTTTTAAGGCAGTATTTTATATTACATTCAAAACTCAATTCTTAATATTAGAACTCTATTCAATATATAGAGCATTTGTTTATCTATCACCTTTTTATTTTTTAGAGCTTTAATGATTACATTGATTTTTTCAATACTTTTTTCTTGAATTCAACTACAGTTTTTTGATTGCCTATCCAGATTCCTAAAAACTTTGCTTGCTCAATTCTATCTAGTTCTTTGACTATTTCTTTATTGACACTTGTTTGAACTTTTATCAAATATTGATTGGAATTATTAATAGTAACTAGTATTGATTTGTTACTATTGATTTGGATGTTATTTGCCTTATAGAAAATTCTTGTTTCTTTCAGAATTTTTTCATGTCTTTTTTGAATCTAGTAATTTATATAGTATCATTTATAAAGGCAATAGCAGTATGTTGAGATTCTGGTTTTCTTATATTATTTTTTATTAAATCTGGATTTCAAGAAACTGTCATCTTGTATCTCCATTTTTCATTGTTCTGAATCTTGCTTAAGAGAGGATTATAAAATATTCTTCAAATTAGAGAAAAGATGGTTTCTTCTTGATTGATTCTATTCCCTATTATTATTGAACTTGTTAAATTGTTTTTATAAATAACTTAATAACTCTAAACTTCTTATTTTGAAACAGGTTCATTATTATATTAATAAAACCAGCTGGAATTTTAATTCTTTCTATCATCTTTTTTAACATATCTAGGCTGATAATATCATATACCTTAGCTATATCTTGAAAAAGTATCTAGAGTTTTTTTTTATTTTTTCATATATCTTCATAAATATTGTTTAGAATCTAAATAAATTCAGCAATACTTTTATCAAGAAGTCCTGTATAGTTGAAATCTTTAAAGATATTGTTTATTTTACAGATATTTCCTAATCTGTTAGTAAGAATTTTTATAAAGTACTTTCTTGTTACTTCTAGCAAAATTATGGGTTTTGTGTTTACCAGGTCACACCCTATAGTTTTGACTTTGCAATTGGATAAATATAGCTCTGTTTTTATTGCATTGGAGTTCTCTTCTATCTTAAAAAGTTATTAAATATTTTTCTCAAATATTCTTTTCCTTTATATCCTAATTTCTTTAATATTTTATAACTGATCTGTAATTTGTCTGATGCTTTATTGCTGAGAAGTATTTGTAGTACTTCATTTAATTCCTCTTATATAATTAGCTTTAAAAAATTTTTATACTATATCTCTTTGATATAGTTTTGGACTTGTATTCTGCTTTTCAATTACTTATTAGGCTGTCAAAATCAGTATTTTGCTTTTTGAAGGCATCTTGATGATACATTCTTATCTTTTCTTTCATTTTTTCTTTCTTAATTATTATATATTCAGATTTATCTTTCTTGATTTTGATCCTATCCAATACTATTTTTATTCTTTCTCTATTTATTAGAGAGTTTACTATTCTTTTTTTATTGATTTTTAGGTATTTATATTTTTATTCAAGAATTGAATTGATTTTATTTCTTGTCTTTTTTCCTTCCAGCTTTTGATATATTAGCTTAAGATTTTCTATTGCATCTTGAATATCATTTTTTAATAATATTCAGGAAATATTGAAAACGTTATATTAAATGTAATGGCTTTATATTTGAAAATTAGGCTCATGTACTTTATTATACTTGTCAATGACTATGCATAAGATCTGTAAGCTATTGATATTTTTTATAACTACAATTTTTTTGTAAAGTATTATCAGTTATAGAAATCTTTCATATTTGATAAATTCTGAGTTATGTTTATAGTATCATATTTTAGTTGAAGCAAATTTCTTTGTTGTTAACTTGTTATAAGCTACTTTTCTTATTTATTTTTCAAATATTTTCCAGATATTGTTGATCCGGCTTTTTTTTTTTATGATTTTTTGACTCTATTTATAACAATAGATTTAGTTTTATATTAAGCTTATGTGTTATATTATCATTGAATACTTGTTACTATTTTGGTATTAATCTCTTTAGGTCAATTCTTTTAATAGGCTTTGTTCTATAGTCTTTTCATTCAAAAACTTGACTTCCAATAGCCAAGAAAAGTCAAATAATATTTTTTATATCAATAGTAAAAAAGTTTTCAAAGAAAGAAAAACTGATTATAAAATATCCAAAAACCCTTCTAGCATTTAAAATAAGAGATTTACAGAGATTTTGTTATAGTTAAAAGGTTTACTTTTTTCCTTTTAAACTGTTCTGGTTCTCTTAAAACTTCTACTTTTATGCTTTTCTGGAAAAATTTGTTTATCTTAATTTAATCCTAAATTTTTGATAGCATAAATTTTTATTAATGATATTAACTGGCATAAAACATATTAGTTTTTGAAATATAAACAAGCTCCTATTGGTCACATTCATGTGTTCTAATGATATTATTGATAATTGAAAAAAATATTTTAAAAATATTTGCCTTCAAAAAGCCCAAGTTCCTTAATAAAGATTTTTATAATCTCAAAAGATTAAGTAATAGATAATATTAATTGCAAACTTATATTTTTTATTTAAGTTTCTCAGGTGATAATAAAGCTTTATTAGAAAAAGTTAAGATCTAAATACTTTTCTTGAAATATTCCAATTTAGTGTTAGCTTAAATAAAGGATCAGTTGAGTTGAATTGACTCATTCAATATTGTAGATAGCAAAAAAGAAATTTTTTTTAGAAGTTCAAATGAAGCAAGAAAACTATTCCAATCAAGTAGATTCCTTTTAAAAAGAGGTAGTTTTTATTTTGGATTTTTTTAATAAGTCTAGAATTGTTTTCTTCCTTTAATCGATTTTTCCCTTCTCCTTTTTAACATAACAATTCATTGATTTTTGAATCAATTAACAGTGATAAACTATTGGCAATGATCCTAGTAGATAGAAGTCATTACTAATCTATTAGAGAAGTATAATATTGTCTTCAAAATCTGACTTAGAGTATTTATATATGAAAACAAGTTAGTTACTTTGTGAAAGTCTGTAAACTATTGTAGATTTTGTTTTAATTTCTCAATAAAGACAAACTATCATGACATGATTGTGAGTATAAAAAAAAAAAAATAAACTGAAAAATCTATTTATTATAATTTAATATTTATAAAATTATTAATATTAAATTTTGTTATTTATTTTATCTATAAGAATTATAATAGAAAACAACTATTAAATTTCTTAATTGTTAATTCAATTTATTACTTTTACAATAAAAATAATTTGCTCCAAATTAACCATTCAAATTTAAGAATTAATTTGAACTAATTTTGCATCAACATATTCAAATATTAATATACGACTTGGTTTCAATCTCAACATATTGACAAAAACACTGCGTAAATCTTTTTAGAATGAGTGAAATTTTTACTCTTCCGTTTGACCACCCCGACCACGACCACCTCTGAATTCAGGTTTAAAGTCACTAGATGCTCCTTCCTTTTTTCCTTCGTCCTCACGGCGACGATAATCTCGGTCTCCACGTTGTGGAGGTCGATATGCGCCTTCCCTTCCCTCTTCTATTAAGGTAAATATATTATTCTTTAATAAATAGATCTCCAAGGACTAATACATCCAAATCTTTATACTAACCCGCACGGGTCCTGCCAGCTTGTCTAGCCTGTTTCTTGAAAGTAGCAGGAACGATTTCTTGAGGCAGATGCAAATATTCTCGAAGATACTCGATTCCTTCGTTAGTTAAGGAATAATAGTAGTATTGCCACGAAAACTGTATATTCACATAACCTTTAGATTTAAGACTTTGGCAAGCTTTTATCACGTGAAGATTTGGGACTTCGATATCAGAATGTTTAGCGGCATTAAAATCTTTCTTTGCAACTAACACACCCTCTAGAATTTATTAATACAGTACAGTTGGTCAATAATCGAATAAAAATATTATATATATTTAAATAACTGACCTTTGAAAAGGTTTTCATAGATTAGTTTGCGGTTTTGCTTCGGAATGAGCATCGCTGTTTACCTATACAATAAAAGGATATAATTCAATGTTTTCGTTCGAATCCATTATGGCTATATAATAATAGATCATGTTATATCTAAACTTTTTTTTGCATGTAAACTTTGTTGTACCTTTTTTCGATATGAGCGGATCATTTAATCTCGATGTTTTTTTTTCAAATTGTATTATCCAATCAAAATTGTTAAATTTACACTATAATTGACAAAAAAATTTTTTTACTTTTATATATAGTATACTGTATATACCGTATATATACTGTATTTTATCTTTTGTCAAGCTAGTTATAGGTGCTTTATTAAACTTATAGTAAATTTTATATTACTAAAGTCAAATCTTTAACTTACTATCTTAGTTAATAAATTTTAAATATAATTTAAAAAGTTTTTTTTTTTTAAACTAATATAAACTTGCTTTATTAAATTAAAAATATATTATAAGTTCAAAAGATGATACTATATATAATAAAAGTTAATTTAAGAAGAATTTTATTAAATTTTTTTTTTTAAAACCTTCTGTTAAATTAGATATATATACTTTATATTGTAAAATGTATTGCTAAAGTTAAATTTAAATTTAATTTATTTATTTTTATTTTGAAATTTACAATACAACTTTGGAAGTGATTTATTATTTCATTAATTATTTTTTATAAGATCAATATAAAAACTTAGAGTATTTTAACTAGTTTTAAAAGTCTATTTCACTAGTCTAAAAATTCACATGTCAAGCTCCTCTAATTCTTCTTAATTGTGATTTACGAATCAAACTAATATAAATAAACTTTTAATATTTTTAAGGATATAATATAATCGAATATTTCATTTCCAATTCGATATCTACCATATTGGTCTGCTTTATTCTAAATAATTATTGAATTTTCATTATCTTTCATAAATGGTTTCCAAAAATCTATAGTTTTATAAAATGTCATATAGTATTTGATTAATAGATCTAATATTTTCATAGATATTTTTAAATTTGATTTTTTCAGATACAAGAGTTCACCTGAAAAATGTTCAGATCTATTGATTATTATTTTGTAAATATTATATATTGTATATTGTTTAAAAATCAATATAACTTGTCAATAGAAAACTAATTTAGTTCAAAAATTGAGCTGATATTTGATCGATTATTTAAAATTTCAAGCTTCTGATTATTAAAATAAGATATAGTTAAATTAATAATTTGATGATCATTTATTAATCATTGTATTAATTTGAATTC